ATTCGATTCACGCGTTTCGCACAGCAACCCAAAATCGTTGTACAAATTCATAAAGAGTACCCATAATTTTTCTATAAAAATAGCTTTGACCAAACCACATATCTCACAGCACTAATTTTGGAACAAATGCAGTTGGGCTCCAAATCTCAAAAAAAAAGTATTGGAATCGATAGAGATGATTGAGCTGAGTATAACGGTATACTTCTTTTTTGGGCAAACAACAACAACAAAAATTATCAAAGGTTAAAGATCAAAATAAGCAATTTTTGAAACCAAGGTTTCTTAAAAACGAATGGATGGAAATTTGATTTCAACATTCTCTTAAAAATTTTGATCTCACTTAATAGGAAATTTGATTCCCTTTAATTTGGTATACGTACTTTATATATATGTTGTATAGTTCTTACAAAAAATTTAATTAATGTAAAATAATTATATAAAACACCTTTTGCAGAGAACACCTTTCTGCATAGGCGGCCTTTGGCCGCACTTAGGTATTATAACCAGCGTTGCCGCTTTGGTAATTTTTAACCAAAATTGGTAATTTTTTTCTTTATTTGTCAAGTTTGGTAATTTTGTAATTTATTTTTCAATTTGGTAATTTTTTTCCATTCGGTCTTACTTGTCAAATAGGTCAATATTGGTTCTGATTCTTCGTAAATACTTATATTCTCGGGACTTAACCCTGTCTATGTGTGAATCGAAAGCTTTCCTTCAAGTGTTGAATTTTTGATATATTTTTTTGTCACTTGTTTCCATACAGTGGTCGAAAAAATTATAGCGCACTATATTTTGACAAGATTTAACATATTATATTTTTTTGTAATGTAATTTTGGTTATTTTTTTTATAAAAATATTATTCTTTCTTTGAACTCAAACAAATTCAAACTTTAAACTTTTATTTAAATATTAAAAAAAAAAATCTACAAACTTTCGTAAAAAGTTTAGGTTAATGGAGCATTGATGGCCGGAAAAGCTTGGTATCTTCGGATATATATGTATATGTACAGACATATTGAGCCCTAACTGCCAAAATAACGTGAGTGACATTTTTTTCAAAATTTTCTTTTTGATGCAGAAAGGCATCTAGATGCTCTAAGAATATTTCTGCATCAAAAGGAAGATTTTTAAAAAATGTCGCTTACGTTATTTTGGCGGTTAGAGCTCGATATGTATGTTTGTACAGTTCTGCACATAAAATATGTTTGGTAATTTTTTCTTGAATTTGGTAACTTTTTCCGGTGATTTTGGTAAAAAATAAAAAGATTTTGTGGCAAAACTGATTATAACCCTCACAACGTAGAATCATCTTTTTGTGTTGCGAAGAAAAGGCACTGAACACCTTTTGCACAGAACACCTTTCTGCGTAGGCGGCGTCAGCCGCATTAGGGTTTGTAAGCTTTTTTTTATAATTATTTTGCATTAATTCAATTTTTGAAAGAACTATACAACATATATATAAAGTACGTATACCAAATTAAAGGGAATCAAATTTCCTATTAAATGAGATCAAAATTCATTCATTCGTTTTTGAGAAATCTTCACGCTTTTCATTTTCAATTTCATAGATTGTTTATAATGACTTTTGCTAAAATTTCAAAATCAAAAGTTATCAAAACAAATTCTATGGGACTGAGAAGTATTATTTTCTACTTTTTAGTCCATTTATAAAAGCGTTGTATATTAAAAAGTTTTTTTTATATTATTTATTTTCTACTTTTTAGTCCTGTCTGAATAAAATTTTGCAATAGATATTAAAATAATTCAACGATATTAATAGAAAGGTGCACACACATGCATTTACATATGTATGTACATACAAACGAGCACCAATTAATTTTATTTAAAGAAATGGCGTGTCGTCTATTTCCGCTGTAGCAAACGTAGTACATAGGGCGACATCTAGATGTCATCTACCTCGCCCTATTCACTACAGATGTCGCCCTATGCACTATGCTTTTTTATAGGAACTTTTCAAAGCAAAGCTTTATGGTGTCGGACACACAACATTGAAAGTTTCTGGATCCACAACATTGAAAGTTTCTGGACGCACAACATTGCAAGTTGATAAAAGCGTTGTAATAAAATAAAGTAGTGTAACAAAAGATTATGCGATATTTTAAGGCGCCTAGTTGCGAAGTTAGAAGACTTCGCCGGGGGAACAACTGCGGTGTTCATTTGGAATATTCTTCCCGTGTCTGTGAAAACTATTTCAACGCCAGTGATTTTGTTACTTGCCCATTGGAGGCATATATTTTTACGCGCAGACGTTTATACCTAGGTGCAGTTCCCATGCCCTGGGAGGTTCCTGTACCTGAAATGCCTGAAGCACACGAAAGTTCAGAAGTGACGATATCATCTGTTGATGTCCAGACGCAAACTGAGTAAGTCTTCAAGAAATAAGTAGTTTCTTACCAAAGTAGGTATATTTCCGTGGTGAATGTAGACAGTTGCTGGTTTAGTTTGCTGGCAATGGCATACATACAAAAGCAGTTTATACAGTAAATAGATACATGAGCTTCACTACCTACTTATTTTTGTTAGTAGCTGATTCTTTTAGTCCTGGTATGAGGTAATGCACCAGTGGATTAGGTCGCCAGGCGCTAATTCAAGCGGCATCTTACCGCGCTGTTACGTACCTAATACAAAACAGTGCCCAAATTATTATACATTTAAAAGTTCAGCTTAAATTATGTTTTACTGACAGAATATTTGCTTCCAAAAAAGCCACACTCATGCATTCTCTCGGAAATGGTACAAAAGTCATCAAATAAAAGCTGTGGAGTTTATGGTGGTTGGCTACCGTCCACACATATAAATATGCACTCTGCATGGCTTTTTAAAATGGCATGTCCAAAAATTCACTTTGCTGCACACCTTCCTTTTAGTCTACATGAAATTGCAAAGTCTGTTAATACATACATTTTTTCATGTGCTAAAAATCGTAATTATCTAAAGGGCTACATGTCCAAAATTATTGCTACGTGTTCCTAATGAATCAATCTTTGTATATTTATTGATTCCTGCAAAATTGGGCCATGTAATAAATAAAATTAACACATTTTCTGCATTGTTTACATATTTTTATATGCGTTTTGGCATTTCTCTCTCGCAATTGCACCAAGATGACGTCACGCAAAAATTACGCTCAAAAATCCTCTCTCATTGGCGCAATCTTGTATTCTATCATTCTTGGAAGAAAACATTATATTATTCTTTTATAACTGCCGGATGATTTGTAGAAGTAAATTTATAAATAAGAAACTAAACGCGAAAAGCATTGGGCGAATAAAAACAAAAAAAAAATGCTTAATCCTCTTTAATACTAACTATTTTTTATGGGTCCCCCAAAATTTCCAAAAAATTAAATCATTAAATTAAATTCTTCTTTGAAGTTTCCTAAAGATAAAAAGAGTTTGCCGATTGAAAAATGATGGGTCCCCCAAAATTTCCAAAAAATTAAATCATTAAATTAAATTCTTCTTTGAAGTTTCCTAAAGATAAAAAGAGTTTGCCGATTGAAAAATGATGGGTCCCCCAAAATTTCCAAAAAATTAAATCATTAAATTAAATTCTTCTTTGAAGTTTCCTAAAGATAAAAAGAGTTTGCCGATTGAAAAATGATGGGTCCCCCAAAATTTCCAAAAAATTAAATCATTAAATTAAATTCTTCTTTGAAGTTTCCTAAAGATAAAAAGAGTTTGCCGATTGAAAAATGATGGGTCCCCCAAAATTTCCAAAAAATGAAATAGGGGGACCCATAAAAATCATTAAATTAAAAAATGGTTAAATAAATAATTGGATATTCTTCTTTGAAGTTTCCTAAAGATAAAAAGAGTTTGCCGATTGAAAAATATTGATTTTCAAGGATTCTATATAATTTTTAGGAAAAAGTGTTTCTTCCCCATATAAAATACGTGGAAAACTTCATGTTGCGTTAGCGCCCTCAAAACGACATGCAATTCTGATTTTTTACCTTTTTATTAACATGTGTAAAATTTCAAAAATTTTGATACCTCTTGCGATAGTGTAGCTCAAACAAAAATTTGAACGGGACATACATACGAGTATATGTCGAGCCCTAACCGCCAAAATAACGTAAGCGACATTTTTTTCAAAATTTTCTGTTTGATGCAGAAATATTCTAGAGCATCTAGATGCATTTCTGCATCAAAAAGATAATTTCGAAAAAAATGTCGCTTACGTTATTTTGACGGTTAGGGCTCGATGTGTGCCTGAGAAATTTAGATAAACAGTTATTCTCTGCTCAAAAATTTTCTGGACTTTCATTGTAGCGGACACCCTGGTCGAATGGTTAGAGATGTGCATTACAATCCCGTGGGACCAAAGGAGGCCGCGTAATACTGTCGACCTCTACGTTTGTGCGACAGCATCTGTATGCCTTGATGGAGGAGAAGCTCGGCCAAGCATTTAGAAAATGTTAGAAGCGACAATTGTTCAATATTTCTTTTATAAAGTTCATAAAGAAGTGCAGAATTTTACAGAAATGTTTGCTTTTTATTATAAAATGCTTACTCGATATCATGATAAAAACATAACAAGGTAAATTATTCTCTAAATTTGTCGGCCATGATTTTTTCTGACGTTTGCACGCATTTTAAAATCATATAAAATTGAAAACAAAAAAATTAAATTCTTCAAAATTTTTGTTGTTTGAGGTAGAAAATGAGAATGTGTGTGTGAGTTCGAGTTTTGAATTTTTAATACGCGTTCCACCAGTAAGTTTTTGAGTTTATTTGATATACGCTGACAGTTTGAACTTTGCTCGAGTTTTTCTACAAGTAGCTTGTGGAACAAACCTATAATATATATGTATATTGCTGGCAAATGTCAGACTGCCTCTCAATGGTTTTACCTGGTTATGTTTTTATCACACTCGATATGGTCTCTGATTTGTTTTGACTTCAAAGTTATAGTTTGGCGCACAAGTGACAAGATAGTAAGACATTTCGTTAATTAAAATTTTACATACAAGTAATTAGATATTATAATTTATTAACTTTATCATCTTTCATCGTGAATTTTAGTATTTTAATGAGAGCTTCCTTTGGTACGCCATTCGTTGTTTGCTCAATGTACTTTTGGAAAGTTTTGAATTTTTCACGTTCGAATTTCTGGTACACACTAGGCAAGTTCATTTCTTCATAGAGTTGCTTCACACGAGCAATCTTCTTTGGATCTGAAATAAGTGGTATTTAATGTAGAGGTCCAAAAGACTTAAACAATTATTTTCAACTACATTTAAATGATATAAAGTATCTCAAAATGTAAACATTTTGATCCAAAAGTATTTTTGAATAGATTTTGGAGAAATATTTTCAATTGCAAATTTTTAGAAGTTCTACATTCAAACATACCCTTTTGTCCATAGCACTCCACCATAATTGCTTTCTGCTCTGGATTAGCCTGCTGCATGCACGTTACTGCCAACCAGGAACACTTATTAGATTCTATATCAGAACCAATTTTCCCAGTAATGTCGGCATGAACAAATACATCGAGATAGTCATTTTGTTCTTGGTAAAAACAACTCATATCTTGCAGAATAAATTGGCACTCATTGAATACCTTGGGGTCCTTGACGCTAAAAATACATATGTACGTAAAGTTGAAATGTATGACTTTAGAAGGTTTGACTTTCAATTACAAAATAATAAATTTCCCTTGAAAAATTTTTACAGAGAAAATTGCGTTTCTCAAGATAAGTTGTTTTAATAAAATGTCACAAATATATATGAAAAGCCTTTGTGTGAATTATAACTGGCGTTCGTTTAAAAAATGACATTTCAGGCTACATTTTTAGTGAAGACAATTCTGCAATTCATTGCCCGCGCAAAAAGTTTTATTGACGTGAAGAAATACGCCGCATCACACCGCATTACTATAGAAAGGCTGAAAATGCTACAAAAACAAGCCGACAAACTTGTGTAGGGTAAGAATGCAGTGAGTGAACATGGACCATTCCAGCAAAGACGGCACCACAGATAAAAAAAAAATAAATTACATACCTAGGTTGGGTTTAATTCTGTGAAAAAGCAGGAAGAATAATTCTTTAGAAATAGATATCTATGGATTAACTTTTCACAATTTTCTCTATTTTAATTGTTATAAACCCGGCCATAGTGCAACTATCTCCAATCGAATATTTTTCCATCAAATTGAAAAGGCTGGTGTATCAAAAGTGACAACACAAAAAGTAAATATCCAAAAAGAAAGTACAATTTTTGGACTTAAAAGCGGTGGTAAGTTTTTACAAAGATATATGTATGGTGAGAAGTCACAGCAAAATACGTATATATGTTTTAACTAGGGATGTTGAGAATGTGAAATTTCAGACATCCGCGGATGCGAATACGGATGCGAATATCTAACAGCTAACATCCGCGGATGCGGAGGCGAATTCGGATGTCAGGTATTTTTTAGAAGCAATTAGAAACTAGCATAATGGTGAGATTGTTGGATAAACATTAACAGGACATTAAAAGGTTAAGTACATAGAAGTGGGAACCCATTGATAGCTCGGTTATACAGATTAAGAAATAATAATGGGATTCATGAAACGTCGCAAAGTTGTTGCAATTGTCGTATTTGTCGCAAAATTTGCCACTTTGCGACACAGCTGATTACTTTTGTATGGAAACTTTCCCGCGACATTGCCATATTATTTGAGCTGGCAGTCATTGCAAAGACAAAGCCGCGAAACACATGTGTTTTTATTGTCTTCAAATACTTCAATTGCAAAAACTTTTATTTTTCTCTAACGCGCGGCATTTTTAAAAAATTTTACATACATACATATGTATATGCAATCCCAAGTTGCGATAAGTCGTTCATAAAACTTTGTTCGCAGCATTGCCATTTCGCCAAAAATGCCACTTTGCGACGTCATATGAATCGCACTAATATGTTTAAAGACATTTTTATCAAAAGTTGATAAATATGACATTTGACCACTTTTGTTACACAAATACCCCCACGACCATAGGCAAAAATACTGGCTACAATTTGTCATTTTGTTTGCCATATATACATTTTGTCGGTGCACTTGCCAACATTTGCATTCGCAAAAGCTCCCCATTGATTATTGCGAATGCGAAAGCGAATATTAAAATAAATGCGCAAGCTCCGCGGTTGCGAATGCGAATTCGAATATTCGCAACAACCCTGGTTTTAACGTAACATACAAATACTTAAGCTTCCCATGGTTCAAATAAAGTCCGCTTATACAAAATTAATAAATATTGAAATCAAACCAAAACATTAGCTTTCATGTTACTCACAAATACCTTCCCAGCCAGCGGAGAAATGTACTTTTTGCTGAAAGTGCAGTTTTCGTACATTTTTCGTATCCGTAAATGTTCAGAAAATGATTTTCATATTTGTTAATTTTTCGTATCCGAAAAATGTCATCATCTTATTTCAAAACCATGATTCAATAATAGAAAGGTTTTGTAATAAAACAGTCTTCTCGGTCCCCCACATAAAATCGGCTCCTTTACTTGTGCAGAATGTTGCTTACTCTATAGTTTCTAGTGATATTAGTAGTAAAACTAAAGATTCTTCATACTAAATATTCGTTGGCGTCACCTACGTTTGCGTAATTTTCTAGAACAAGTGTAGAATAGCTATAAAATAACCAAAAATGCCACCAACGATACCAAATTTATTTGACGCAGGTAAAAAATAAAGAAAATATAAGAGGTTTATTTGTATTTTTTATTGTCACTAAATTGTTGAAACCCAAAAGTAGATCATGATAAAATATGTAATTTCGAATCAAAGATACTAACTTGTACTTTCTAAATAATATAAATTTCTTTACCATTAATTATGCAGTTTTTTCAAAACAGGTTATTTCATGAAAAGATAACATAGCTATATGTACATCAGCTGAAGAACAAATTAATTACCTTTATGGTGACGTCATAAGTTTTTTAATCGGTTATAAAGTTCATAGGATATTAATATTTAAAATATCTAAAAACTGAACTTTAACCTTCTAGAACATCTTAATTTTTTACTTGCGCCAAATCATTTTGGCATAGTTGAAATGAGCATACAAAGTTCTATTGATCTGCATTTTTCGTTTTTGCATAGCTGAACGGTCGGTATTCTAGATTTGTTCCCGGAAATGACGAATAACTTAAATCAAAAATGCATATTTTTATGTATTGTTTAGTTTTTCCATTAAAACACCAAATATATTGCAAATTCGCATAGAATTAATAATACACATTTTATTTCTAATTGTATACTTTGCGTACTTTTTGTAGTACTATTCTACTACCGTTTTCGCAAAATGCGATCACATTCCTCCCATTTCTCCTACTTACAAAATACAAATCTAGATAAAGGAGTGTCAAATTTTCACAAATTACACAACCTTGTATTATTGAATCATGTTTCAAAACAATAATTTTAAAATATTTGTTCAAACTGAGCATTTGAAAACATGTATACATATTCGCCAGTAGCTGAGTGTGCAGAGAAGTGTGCTACTATTTGTTAGCTTTCAGGAGGTCCCAGGTTCGAATTCCGTCAGAAGCAACACATTAAAATTAGTTATTCAAATTGAAATAATTGCTGAATCTTAAATTGTTTTTTGTTTGGTTTCCTGTAACTATGAAAAAGTTTCTGTGAAGTTCATAATGAAATCGTTTTCAACGAAAAATTCTATCAGACAAATGTCAGGAAAACAGCTGGAAGCGCATTCGTTTTACACCATTTTCGATAGTTTTCTGCACATACGTTTCGGATGAACACTTTAGTGGGAGAACTGATCTGAAAAACGTCCGAAAACGGAATCGGAAAACGGATGAAACATCAGGTTTGTATACGAAATTGTTTCCATTTTCGGATACGTCCCGGATATTTTGCTGGCTGGGTTGTTTATACCAACCCATAAAGCGCTTTGACCCAGTTCGCTGTGATTCAAAACGGAAGCATAAACCAACTTTCAATACGCTCAGAAATTCAAAAGTGTATTGACTCGAATTTGTTTTCGAATCGATTTTTTATTTCTCACATCGGTTAGAAAACAGGTATAAACACATCACTCATTTGACGCGAAGTGAAAAAAGACTGGTTTTCTTTATACAGCCCGTTTTAAATTTGAATTATTATTATAACAAATTTGAATTCTTGTTCGCTTCCACTTCGGTCCACCACGCAAATTAATTATTTAAGAAATATCGAATAAAAATAAGCAATTTTGTTTACTTTTGAATACGGTTTCAGCAAGTGCGCTATAACGACACAGGTATAAATGCTTGAAAGAAATATATGTTGAGTGAAATCAGCTTTTTGTTAATGCGGTTCTTGCATAGGTATAAACAAGGTAAAACTATGTATATGTCCTTAATGTTGGGTCACTAACCCATCCCACCTGCCAAAAAATACTGTCCCACCCGTCACAAGCTAAATTATGTTTTTTTGTTTTAAATTTCAATTATAATAATGCCATCAAAGCATAACATGGATTTTAACATTCTATTAGCTACATACGAGAACATCGCCAATAACGAAATATTTATAGTGTGTCCCAAATTGGTAAACGAATCCAACAAGTCATAGAGGCGGGTGTCATCGTTGTCACAAGCGTAACTCTTGGAAAATGTCAATTATCTCTGTAAATTATATGACTAAATTTTATACTTTATCAGTTTAGTATGAAGCGGATATCTGACTTCAAGTGTTAACAGTTTGAAACTTGTCAAATTAATGGTTACTTAAAGTTTGGGCAAAAACGAGTTAAAATATCCCACCCGTCACTTTGGAATGCCCCACATAAGTCTGTTTTGAGAAAATATTGTAGTTACTAAGCAACAACGTAAACGAGTAGGTTATAAATTCACATTTTTGTGTTTGCCAAATAACGCTTATTACAACGATCGGTCGAATCGAATATTCGAATTTAATAAGGTATTCGAAATCGTACAAACAATTGCCATTTGAACGTTCAAATATTCGAATTATTCGAATACTTTCAAGAGACCTGGAAGTAATGTCAATGGTTAAGCAAGACCGGCATGCAAGCTATAAAGAGATATCGGCGGCACCAAACATCAACCATATCACAGTTTGGAATCATCCAAAAAGAGCTCGATATTTGGGTGCCACATAAATTAACGCAAATAAAATTTGTTCACCTTCAATGTAACGCAAGGAAATCGAATGATTTTTGAAGCGAATCCATTACTGGCGATGAGAAATGGATTGAATGAAGAAGCAAACAAAAAAGAGCGATTAGAATTGGCTAACAGAGAAGGAGTTGGGTTCCATCCCGAATACCCCGCGCCTCACACCGTCTGACTTTCATTTGTTTCGGTCTCTGCAGAACTCTCTTGATTGTAAAAACTTGGATGACCGAAGAGCCGCTGAAAATCACCGATAAACCACAGAAGATCTACACCGATGAAATTATGAAGCTACCCAAAAAATGACAAAAGATTGTATGTAGATAGTAATGGCAAATATTTAGGTGTTTGACTAAAAAAAAATTTTCAATGAAGAGTTTTTTCAAAAATTTACCCAAAAATCCGGGGACATTTTTCATATCGCGCAATATGTATTATGTAATTATATTCGTTCTCACCCCGCCAAATGTAGAGCTAATGCTGAGGGTAACCAGAGGATGTGACAGCCGGCTTTATCCATGATAGTCGACTGATAGATTTTCATGTTGAAGGTGCTAACACTTTTCTGCGAGCTTAGGTAATCCATTAATTGACCTCGAACTGCTTGAAAACTTAAGTCATGGAACAGCTCCAATATGGGCAAATAGAAGTCCATGTGACTAAAATGCTTCCGTAGCAGCTTGTAAATAGCATTTTCCATCATAAGAATATCATTCGTGACAGTATAATTAGGTCCATCCAACTTATACCAGCACAATTGGCCGCGTCGTGTGGTACTTTGGTCCACCACGTCATCGGTTATATATAAGGCGGAATGAAACTGTTAAAGTTTTCGAAATATTATTGCACATACATACATATGTACATTAGGGTAGATCACCAAAACAAGATGTGGTTTTTCCGCCGGAATTATAAAATTCATTTTATTTTAAGACTGCTGCCAAAACGTTTCGGAAAAATATTAAGAATTACGTGAAGTGGACCAATTTGAAAATATGTAAATTTTCTTTTTTCTAATTTTTATGCAGAACTTTTAAGCTTAAACTCTTCTACCATCTGTAGTGATTTTTCTTCTCACGTAAATCCTAATATTTTTCCGAAATATTTTGGTGGAAATCTTAAAATATAATAAATGTTATATTTCCGATGAAACAATAGTACCTATTTTTTTTTTTTGTATAGAGATTGATGAACCCTAACGTACATACATACATATGTACATATGAAAATGAGTTAAAAGTGAGTGGCAGTCCATCAATCTAAATAATTGTAGGAATGCGATATGCTTACCAATTCCACGCACCAGCCGAGGTAGTGTATCAATTTTAATTTTTCCGGCGTAAGCTGATCCTTTGGGATGATACTTTTATACATTACAACTGCAACAACGCCAAACATATGCTTCTTGCTGCCAGGATTGTTGTATATTAGACACTGCAAGATGAATTGGGCGAAAGTTTTGAAAATGAGATTGCTTGAAATGCCACATGTATTCTACGTTACCTTTTGAAACCATTCGGCGGCATCATCACTACTGTCGTATTTCGCTGCCTCGACGAGTTCACGTAAAATTTCTGTAAATATTTAATACAAAATTGGCAATGGTATATAGCACGGTAGCCAGCTCATTTTTGAGAATTCCCCGATTTCGACAATGAAATTCCTCGATTTTGCCCGAAATTTCGTAAAATTTCCCACCCATCTCATTAAAAAAATTTATGTATTTTGATATATGTATTAAGTTTGTTAACAAATAAAGAAGCAAAATATACATATAATATTTACATACATACAACGGTCGGAAAAAATTTAGTCGCACCATATTTTGACAAGTTTTCACAATTATTATTTTTTTGTTATTTAATTTGAGTTGTATTTATAAACTCCTTAACAACAACCGTTCAAAGCATAGATAAAAGTTTTGTGCAAATTTAAAAAAATTCAACAAACTTTCATAAAAATTTCGAGCTTTTAATTAGATTTTCTAGGAAAATTTTGAGTATGCAGTTTTGTTGTCCACTCCATTCTAGTGCAAAAAAGTGCAAGTTTCAAGTACCTAATTTTTTCGCCCAAGGTGTTGCGATTTTCTTCCATACAAAATAAATTGTGTTTATTCGTTATATGAGAGCTTCCCAATGTAAACTGAAAGTCCCCACAAAAACGGGGTTTTCCCGGATTCCCCACGCAAACTGAAATTCTCTGCAAATCGGGGAATTCCCCACGATTTGTCTTCTTTGGTATATAGTATTGGGTCAGCGATGGTTCAAGGATAGTGGTCTGAAACTATTGATAGTCGGCACTATCGACAGTGTGCTATAGTTCTTTAGAAACCATCGATAGTTTTCGATAGTCTTCTAAACTTACAATTTGGATTTGTATTGCGCTTGGCAAATTTGTAAAAAATATATTTTAAGAAATCAAAATATCCCTAGCTTAGAGTGAATAGTTGCTAAGTCCATTTTTAAAAATTTTACAGGAGAGGGAAAAAATTCTCATAGCCATTTTCTCAAGAATTTTGCAAAACTTTTCATAAAATATTTTACGTTTTTAAAGAAAAGCAGCATTGATACATATCCAGTAATAAAACATTCGATGGATTTGCAAAAGCTAGCTCGTATTTTTATTTTATAGCCTACTAAAGTTTTCATTACTCGGCCTAAGTAGTTTTCAAAAAAGTGGAAGAAATGGTTAAAATAAATGTCTGAATGAAATTAAGGGTTAAGACAAATGTAGTAAAATATTTTCGTATTTATTTTTCGGAAAATTTTACTAGCGGTCTCTCTTCTCAGGCAAAAGCTTTATGCTGTAAAAGTTCCAAAAAAATTAAAATAAAAAATCAACAAAAAAACTGTTTTTTCCACAAAAAGTTTTTTAAAGTTGAGTTTGGCTGTTATTCCTTCTTTGTTTTAATTTTATAGAGGCATGAAATTTTTGCCTGAGAAGACCTCTAGTAAAATTGTCCGGAGAACAATGTTCTACGAAAATACTTCCCATAAAATTTTAACTAACTTTTGCAAATCCATCGAGTGTTTTACTACTGGACGGGTATACTTTCATAAAATGCTAACAAAGTCCGGGTTGATTTCGGCTGTCGCACAGTGTTATTAAAGCCTCTTCTCAGTGCTTTCACCTTTAATTCAAAAACAGCTTTATTTGCTCGACGCTTGTTTGGTAAAATCTTGTATAGAAATATATACATATATATGTATATAAACAGCTGTCTTATGAGAACAAAGGGCGAAGACGCAAATTAAGTGCCGCTGATACAAAATCATAGAAAAATATTTTAGCGAACAACGAGTAAAAAACGTATGTAAGTAGTTGAATACATGTTGCGTTAGGTTGTAGTATTTGCCCCAGGCCAGGGACACACTTGGACAACTTAGCTATTGTCCTTTGTGATACCACGAAAAATGAATGGGGCCAATTAATTTAGTCGGCGAAACGACGCGAGCCGATTACAAAGTTGCGATTGCGGCTAATCTCAATGCACGAGAGCTCCTCAGGGTCAGTCTGGTAGAGCCAAAATGTTTATATCTTAGCCTCGCGAAGAAGGTCTAATAGAATATTCGGAGATAATTACATCTTATAATTCTGATGAAAATGAGATCAGATAAGATTCCCAACCCAACCTGTCAGAATCCCCACCAATAGCGAGAGCTGAGGCTTTGACGGCCTTCGTTCCACCCCAGACCCGAAGGATCTTGCTATCGCACATGTCCTAGTTTCAGTCTAGCGCCCAACATGTCCAAGGGTAAACTGAAGGAGGACATAAGCACATTTGGCACATTTTAGCACTTTTTTTATCCTCAAAATGGCACTTCATAGCTAAGTATAGTTGACAGCCCTTTAAGTAAGCCTGTTTCGGAAATACTCTGACGCGGTTTCCAGAGAGATCTGAGATTCCCTTACCCATTCGAGCCCACCACCATAGCGTTCAGCATACAGCTAGATACCTGGCTATCACAGTACATGCTAGGCTCTTAGGTGACTCTGCCTACATCACGCGCTCGGGAAATACAATTTTGACAATCCGTTGCTCATTACTGGCAAAACAAATGAAATAGACAAATTTTGAGTTAATTTTTCCTTACCTGGATATGCAGCCATATATTCTTCAATATCCTCCTTTAATTCCGGCAATACTATTTCAAATGGTACAACTTGTTTTTCCATTGTTGGTTTCGATGCTATACGGGGGATCAGAAAGTAGCGAACGAAAATAAAAATAATGCAAAGTCCACTTGGGGAATTTAATAATAAATAACAGTCAGTCACACGCCTATAACTTTTTAAATGATTTTGTTTTATGGGGAAAGTAGCCTTTATATATCGAATTCGGGCCTGTAAATAACTGTTTTATGGTTTTCTTTTAGCTTCTTGTCTGTATTTAGTAGGTACAATATAATATAATATATGTATATAAATATTTACATTGTTAAAACACAAACATAAGATATCATATAGAGAATGGTTCTGGTCGGCAAGAGGTCGTCGACAATGCAAAGGCATCGATTGAAGTTTACATAATACTGTTGTACGACAACATCAACTAGCCGCTTCTATAATTGCCGCGGCGTGTACATGTATGTAGGTAAAAATCATGGTTGGAACCAGTGGTGCCAGAACTTTTTGGACCAACCGGCTAAATTGGCAAAAAAAAAACGGCTAGTTTCAACTAAATTTCACAAGTTTGACTTAAACAAATCACAAGTAGAAAGACTAGTTCTTGGAGAGAAGTTTCAAATTCAAGCTGGAAAAAATTTTGCCAGCAAGAATTTGCAATTAGGAAAAACATATGGTTGTTGCACATGGTTGAATTTTTTGTCGACGATATGTTGAATAAACCAATTCGTTAAATTTAAAAATTTACAAACTTGAGCGATTTTAAAATGAAAAATGTAAGTAAATACTTGTTTACTTAATTTAGTTAATTTCCAATGATTTGAAAGGTACTCCGCTGAAAAGAACTGTATTCGTAATCGGAATGCAATCTCAACTAGAACCGATATCAAAAACCCAACAGTTACTACGACAAAGAAATTGAAACGTATGTTGAAGAAAGTCGGACTAACAAGAAATTTACATGTAGATCCTTTGTTTTGGCCCTCTGAAAGAATTTTAAAAATTATATACAAATTTCATATGTTTGAAATGCAACTGTGGACACTAGCTGGCAGGGAAACTTGCAAATTCCTGCAAACTTGCGTTCGTGCAGAAATTTGCAAATTTCTCTACTCGAGAGAGAATTTGGGAGCATTTTTCCTTACTATGTGGTATTTTTATTGATAGTTCTCGCTGGATTTTCGACGAACAAACCTATTGTCTTCCCAGAAAGTTTTGCTTTAAGCTCGGAACACTTTGACGACTGCAACTTCACGACGTAACGACAGCGACATCATTTTGTCGACAAATGTCGCCTTGAAGCCAGCTTCTTAAACATTTTGAAGACCTCAGCGACATAGCAAACAGCTGATTTTAAAGTTTGACATTTTGGTATATTTATTTTACAAATTGTGTATTTTTATTTAATTAAATAAGAAAAACATGAACTATCAAGAATATGTGATTAATTTTGCGACAATTTAATTTTGCAGCACTACATCTACTCATTGTCGCCGGCAAAATTAGAAATAGATTTAATTTGGCGACGTCGACAATTGCAGTCCTGCAGCCAAGAT